AAATCCTTCAACTGCTCAAGATGTTTTTTTCTCTGTAGTTTCCTCTAGAGTCCAGGGCAACTAGGACATTTTCAGTATGATTCATACAGCATTCAAATATCACGAGCCAGGCCCCCAAAATACATGGTAGGTTTCGAAATCATTAGATTTTACCAAATAATGGTTTGGAGGCTCTTTTTATTTGCCCTTTGGCTTGGGGGCCTTTATGCTGCACAACTTGGGAAAAAGCAGATTACCTTGGAGTAAGCTTGGACTCCACATCAAGGGCCATAGGACTAGGATGGAGCCCATGCCTGGGGGCTGTATTGCCTGCTTTTGTTAACTTTCGTTATCTTTTCTGAGGAAAAGGCTTTGCTGCATCTTTTCTGCTTAGTCATCCCACAAGCTGACACCCATTTTAAGGGTTCAGTAAAAAATCTCCCCCAACTCTTCAAAAGAAACTTCCACTGGTGTCCAGTTCAAAGCAGATCCTTTCCCTAATCAAGCACTTCTATGGTGGTTGGATTCCATTCTGGTCACCTCCTTTATCTTTGGATTATCTACACTCTTTATCTCTGCAGCCTGCTGAAAGCTGTGCAATGACCATTTTGGTGACTTTGCTGGCTCTCAGGTCTTTGGGTCTGAATTGTAACCCTGGAGCGGAACCCGTTACCTGTCTGTAATGGATTGAGCTAACCCCCTTTATCTGAACACCCACTGCTCACTTGAGAAATTCTGAATCTGGATTGTATGGCTCATGTCTGCCTGCTCTACATCTTCTACTTATCTGCAGCGCGATTCTCTCTCTTCCCAACTCTCGTAAGGAAGTGCCACATCTACACCTGTGCACCTCTGTTGTTGGGATTATTTCATTTTATACACTCATAGATGACATTATGGGACAATTTTCCAGAAGCCTTCATGATCAAAATGCATATAAACATACACATATTTGCATGCCTGGGAGAGCCTTTTCCATAACTGCATGTGCACTTGTATTAACTGTTTGCACAAACGATCCAATTTGTCATTGGCCCATTTTATACTCTTTCTTCTGATTATAAATTAAGACCAATTGTGACAGCTGCCATCTTGTCCAATAAACCATGGATTAAGCCAGGAACCTTGAGTCTAGACTCTAGAGCAATAAGCTTGTGTCTCTACTTCTTGAGCTAAAGGTCCAGTTCTCTGTAGCTGGGGGCTGTAACAGACACATATCCTTTGTGGTCTGGGTACACTGGGGGACTCATAACACTAACCAGTGGGTTACATAAAGTATATACAAATTATATGTCCTTCTCTCGGTGTCTTTCATATTTCCAAGGTGCCTATAACTGGGTGTCTAAGTATTGCTTGAAATACCCATGGGAATTTACATGGCATTCCTTGTTCTTGTGGGCAAGCCCTAACACAGAATGAATCGGGGTCTTCATTTTGGCCATGCCTCAGAAGCCGGTTACAGGAAACACAGACTCATAATTTTCTCTTCCTCATTTGCCTTTAAGTGGGATCTGTGCCTTTACGACAGTCCTCCCCCCCCACCCCGTTGCTACCATTTCTGGAGAAATGGCCACCTTCCTTCCTTCCCGCTCTCCTGTTACTATGGCAACTGGGCTTCCCTGATGCAGATGCTTGTTACTTGGCCGAGTGCCACATCTCTCAGCAGAGCCCGAGTTTTCGCTTTCCCTTTGGTGGCAAGTTGTTCTGTTTGCTCTTCTTCTGCTTGTCCAGGCAGCTCTTTCCTGGGATACTTAGCTAGAGCGAGAAGGGAATGTTACCACAGAGCATGCAGTGTCGAGACAGCCAAACCCGCCGACTGAAGTCGAGCTCACCTTGTATTATTCTCCCTTGTCTTTTTGCTTCCTTCCTTCCTCAGGCACTGGAGAGCAGCCAATTCTGACACTATGGAGTGTGGCTGGGATGCTGAAAGGAGCCCGGAGAGGTACATGTGGCAACAGAGGTAAAATCTTTCTTACTGATATCTTGGAAGCAATACACCCTCCTTCCTGGGTTAGTGATGTGGGGGAATTGACCCTTACAATATCTTTCAGCAAAGCTCCAGTCTGAGGTGGATCCAAGCCCAAACCCCAGAACTGAACAGCCCTCAACTTTGGACTGTTCTGAATTCAGATCTGGATCTAAATGTTGCTACTGGTTAACACCGGAAACCTGATTCAAAGAGCTGCACTCATGTAGTCAGTGGATAGAAGCAAATCACATGACCTTTGTGTCTAGTCCAAGCAGCAAGAATTTCACATTCTGAATGCTCATCTGAAGCTGCTGGTGAACATGTCCCAGGCTAGGCATCCTTTACCGAAGTCACACGGGGAATATTTTTGCATAACAAATACATTCAAGAAAATTGTCGTTTGTGGGTGGATGAGTCACAGCGACAACCAAGAAGCTACATTTTTTGAATACATTACTTGCTATGGGTTACTTGCCAAGCTCTAGCTAAGACACTGTCCCTCAGAAAGGAGACCTTCGGTGTTGCAGCACTTTAGGCATAATAGGGTCAGTTCACAGCCTCATAGAAATGACAGAGGGAAAATACTTATTAGATCATGTAGTCTATCCCTCCACAAGCCAGGCCAATTCACCACTATATATTCGCAGGTGCTTTGCCAATCTTGGTTTAAATTGAATCAAACAATGGGATTTTTATAACTTTGTCCATGGTCCACGCTATTTCACAGTCTAATAGATTCTGCTATTGAGACAGAGGGCTTGTCTACACGTGAAATGCTGTAGTGCTTGAATGTAGACACTATTTACACTGACAGGAGGCGTTCTCCCATCAGAGTAGGTAATCCACCTCTCCGAGAGGCTGTAGCGAGGTTGATGAGAAGACCTAGCGCTGTTTACATTGAGGATTATGTTGGTATAGCTAAAGCTTTCAGGGTGTGGATTTTTCAAACCCCTACGAGACATAGTTCTACCAATGTAAGTTCCCAGCGTAGAGCAGCCCTAACTTTATCCTTTGCTCAACTTCACCCCATTACTCCCACTTCCATGCAGACTCTTTCTCAAATACTGCAGCATCTATGAATGATAGAATTCTATGATTCTATATTATTAATGTCTTAATCCCAACTTTTTAAAGTTGTCTACACATTAAAAACCTAGACTATATATATATATAAAAAAACCTATGCTAATTAACACAGCTCTATTTTATAGAACACTCTGGCTGCAATGAGGCTACTACATCTTACTACCAGCTACATTTGTACCCCTATGCTCAAAATTCTTGCCTTCTGAAGATAGGGTTAATTTTAAAAAAAATGCAGCAAATTAGACCTCGTTGAGATCTGATACAGTGATTATGTGTTTCTTGTTTTTCTTTAAAAATATTTAGACAAGAGTTCTCTTGTTTATGTTTTAAATTTGAGATAAAATATGCATCATGCTCTCTTTTAGGAACAAAGTTAATAGGATGCAATATTTCCCATATAAGTCTTCATGTTCATTTGCTTATAACCATAAAAACATGCTCTGTATTTAAAGCTGCATCTTGGAAAAGGCACTGAAACATCTTAACAATTTTTACTTCAAAATGCAATAGCTTTGGGAGGCTATTAGATACTCAGAGATATTACTGAAGGGATTCAAACTTTTTATATAAATGTAAGTAGAAATTCAAGGTTATATCGAATAGGAAATGAGCTCTTTAAAACCCAAACTTCTGTGCCATCCTTAGCTTTATTGAAAGACATCAAATATCATGACATATCTTTGATGTGACTGCATTCTGTGCCCTCCTGAATTACTACTTGGACAATAAAATGCACAGAGCATATTGTGCAATAAATGTGGAAATGGTTTCATTAAGCCATGCACAATAAACTGATGAGAAACTTATCATCTATGGCATCAACGGGAAAAGGTGAATGTGGCTTTTTTTTATTTAATCTTGGTGTCGGTATTTTGAAAAGTGTCATGTTATTTTCCAAATCAGTTTGTAGAATACAGCATGGGGAAGAATCCACTAGTAGTTTGGATGTTATTATACCTAAAATCACATTACATTTTTAACTCCATCTCTTTTCTTATTAGAATGACAGATCTTTATAACATTGAAAGTTTCTCCCACATATGATATAAGTTTGATTTATTTGCCCTGAATTATTTCAGGAGATGTGTTTGGAGAGGGTTTATATGTACTTAATGGGTTAAAATTTCAGCCACCCTTTAAGAGTGTTTCTGCAATTTGTGTGTGTGTCCAAATGCAGGGTACTACAGACACAAAACCTGTGCATCCATTTTGAAGGCAAACTTTGAAACTCCACTTCTGTGGTGGTGTTTGTTTGTATATCATAATGTGTTATCATTGTACAAAATGTAACACAATATTATTCTGGAAAAATGATTTCAAGTCTCCTAAAATAATAACTAATCAGAGTTGCTCTAGTTATCACAACAGAAGACAACTTACTATTTTTAAAAATAAAGATGCCAGGGGAAAATATTTCTTTCACTAAGTCTGTTTGAAATATTGCTGATAACTAGAGTGATCCTATGGTAGGATAAAGCATGTGGTAGATGAAACTCTGCTATGAATGAGTGTATGAGACTCACTGCTAACAGCAAATAAAATAACTTTTGCTAACAACTCTTTCCTAAGCTGTGGGTGAGGTGTGTGTGGGGGGGGGATGCTGTGTTACAATGCTGCATGCTCGGTATTTGCTAACTGCAGGAGCAGTTGTAGAATCTTAATTCTTTGATTCCATTCAGAAAGTCTTTTCTATATCTCTGGCTGGCAAGCAATACAAAACTTTACTTAATTCTTTGTGACTGAATATGGCTTTGAAACTGATACAAAGTCAGTTTCAGGAGTTATTTCTATTTATAATAATAACAATATACACTGGCAAATTTTGATATTATTTCCTGAGGATTTTCTCCGAGGATTATTTTGTATCTTTTTGTGATGCATGTTTAACAATGACAGGTTTGCTTCTTGTAACACTATAGTAGGTTTATAGAGGGTTGAAATACTAGTTAAAAGGGGACTTACTTACCCTGTCTTCTTCGGCTCTTAAGTCCGGCATGGTGCTAACACAAAGGCTTATAGCTGTGGTGGCCACAAAGAGGATGGAGAGACAAGCAAAGACTTTTCCTGGGAGTCCTGACTGGGGATTTTCGACCATATCCCTGAGTTTATTCATAAATTGTTCAAATTGTGTTTCCTCAACCAAGACACATGTGGTCTCCTTGCTCATTTGCATCTCTTCCTCCTTGTGCATCTCTGCCAGCTCCTGCAGTTTTTGAAACAGTTTTCGGAAGCAGCATTTCTCCAAGTTGGATTCCTCAATTCCCCAGTATCTCAGCTCCTCCTGGAATGACAAGGCACACATGTCTCGGAAGAGCATCAGCTTCCCTGCTGCTAGAAAGCTGACGATCATCCCAAAAGCATTGGGATTCCGGTCGAAGAAGAACTCATGGGTGTCTTCATCATAATCATCACACAGCTGAATAATTTCATCGTAGCTGCTGCAAAACTTTAGCTTGCTTAGCCGGGTCAGTGGGAATTCGTCTAAAGTGCTCCAAGGTAGCAGGTATTTGATTCCTCCAACATTTATGATGATCTCCCTCTTCACATCAACTGTACAGAGCTGATCAGGGTGGTAAATCCTCCTGGCCCTTTGATAGTGGACCCCTTTGACAGAAGGGGTGTCAACAGAGATAGGGAACAGATGGTTTAAAGAACTACAAGAACCGTAGCTAATGTTACTATAGTCCTGGTTGCTGCCTCCCGAGACAATAGGCATTTCTGAGAGTTCTCACTGGGACATCCGAAATGGCATCAGAGCAGGGTTAACTCTTCACCCAAAAGATGGGGATAGAGGAAAGAAACATAGTAAAGGTTATTATGAGTTAAAAGGCATCACAGGCTACTTCCCTAAGACATTCACAAGTGTGTGTGTGTGTGTGTGTGTGTGTGTGTGTGTGTGTGTGTGTGTGTGTGTGTGTGTGTGTGT